AGGCGCGGGATTACAGGCTGAGCCACCGAGCCCGGCTTGGGAAGATCATTTTTTACAAGGCGAATTCTCCAGGAAAATCTGGTTGAAATCCAAGTGATTCCCTGAGGAGTAAAGTAGTGTGAAATTCTTTTCATCTACAAAACTCAAAAGGTATGCTTTAAAAATAGATTACAAGTCAGGCGTAGTAGCTTACACATGTAATCCCAGCACTTTGGGAGAGGCAGAGGTGAGAGGATTGCCTGAGTCCACAGGTTCGGGACCAGCCTGAGCAACATGGTGAAACTTCATCTCCACCTGTAATCTTAGCACTTTGGGAGGCCAAGGCAAGTGAATTGCTTGAGTCTGTGGTTTGAGACTAGCCTGGGCAACTTGGTGAAACCTCGTCTCTACAATAAAAATCAAAATTAGCTGGGCGTGGTAGCGTGTATCTATAGTTCTGGCTACTTGGAAGGCTGAGGCAAAAGGATTGCTGGAGCTCAGCAAGTCGATGCTGGGGAGGCCATGAGAGTGCCACTGCACTCCACCCTGGGTGACAGAGTGAGACTCCAACTCCCAAAAAAAGAATGTGCAATAAGGTATCTGAGCACAGAAATCAAAGTATTAAAGAAAATCAAAGTTGATCTAAATTCAACTGCCATGTTTCTAATCTTTTACACCTTGACTTCACTAATACCTTGATGTAAGATACAGCTTCTTAGGAGAAAGAAAATAATCAGGAGTACTCTAGAAGTGGTATAAACTGATTGAGATGGGCATAGAGTTTTATACTCTATTTATCTTTTGTTAGATTAGAAAATATAACTTATTCAAAAAGTAAATTAGAGAGAGTGAAAGAAGAGATTCACCTTCCCAAGGTAGGGGAGGGGGCCAAAGCCAGGAAACATGGCCTGGCCATAGCTTAGCAAGGTAACGGCTGCATGGCCTGGCAATGGCCTGGCAATGGCCCAGCAATGGCAGTGGCAATGACCGGAGTTTTGCACTTGAGTGAAATCAAGGGCAGAAAGTGATTCATGATGAATGAAGGACTAAGGGCTGTGGGTGTGGCTGCCTCAACACCCTACCTGGGAGAACTTCAGCACCTCCACACCAGCATTCTCCAGTTCTTCCGTGCAGTTGCTGCTGATGATTGAATCAAAATTTCTAAGTACCTGTGTACGAACATATGCATGGATGGTGAGAAAGGAAGAAGATTCAAGTAAAGACATACTACAAACTTGAGAGGGAAATTTCAGCATTATACCTCCTCATCTCCTCCCTATTCGCAGCCATACTGGGAGTGGAGTTTTGGTTTTTTTTTTTAGAGTCAAGGTCTCACTCTGTCACCCAGGCTGGAGTGCAGTGGCATGATCACAGCTCATCACAACCTTGAATTCCTGGGCTAAGGTGATCCTCCCACCTCAGCCTCCCAGGTAGCTGGGACTACAAGCGTGGGCCATCACACTCAGCCAGTTTTTTGTACAGATGAGGTCTTGCTATGTTGCTTAGGCTGGTCTGGAACTTCTAGACTCAAGCGATCCCCTTGCCTCAGCTTTTCAAAGTTGCTGGGATTATAGGTGTAAGCCACTGCACCTGGCTGGCAGTGGAGTATTAATAAACCCCCTATTTTCCTATGTCATCACTGATATCTGCATTGCATCCGACTTTAACTATTCCTGCCTTACAGTTAAATGGACAGCCAGGCTTCACACCTCTACAATCTTCATGCTCCTCTCCTTCCAAAGTGTGCTTCTCTTTTCCTAAGTCAAGGGAACAGAAACTCTCTCCTTTTAGGATCCCTCTGATATGATTGAAAGGAGGCTACCTAGTAAAACCTCCTTGTCTAGCCAGAGATCTCAACAGGTTGACCTTGGAGATGTATCTGTGACAGCCCACATGTAACACCTCCCAGGCAGGGTTAACGTGGGAGGTCATGAACAGTCGTTCTAGAATGGAGTGACGCTGGGACAGAAAGAAGAGGGAGAATGAATCTGATGCATTAGGGATGGGAGAGGGCAGGAAGCCCAGGCAGATGTGGGAGCCAATTTTCTGCAAAGGAGCCAGTTGTCCAGATGCAGGAATTATCTATTCCTCAGGTAGACTGCTAAGTTAGCGATCCCTCTGCCTTTTCTCTACCTTCTAATTTGCTGAATGTATTCTAGCAATGCAAAATACTGGTTAGCTATGAAAACATTATTCAAAATATAAATATCCTGGGGTTAATTGCACGACATGTTTCAAAACCAAAGAGAAAGTTTCTGAGAGCACACACTGCCTAGGATTGTCAGTATCCCTGTCTGTCTACATCTGCTCGTGTAAAATTAGAATCACAGCTTCTGTGTGGCTGGGGGTCTGGTAAATCCTGTCCCTGCAGAATTAGGTCCCAAAGGCATTAAATGGCTTGTGCAAATCACAAGTTTGTTAGTGAGACCAGATTCTTAGGCCCACACTCTTATTACTGCTTCCCCTATCATGTCTCTGGAAGCTCTAATATGCTACCACAACAGCTGCAGTACTCAGTGAGGATGATCAGTCAAACACGTGTATAAAGCACACGTCATCAAGCAATGACAAACACGGAGGTTGCATCTAAGTGGAAAGAATAATGGTTTGGGCTTTCTCAAATCTTAGGTGACTCCAAGTTTCGATGCTAATTAGCAGCCACAAAACGTCTCTTGGCCTTCGTTTCTTCATCTATAAAATGTAATGAAAGTAGATGATCTCTTCGCCAGGCTCGGTGGCTCAGCCTGTAATCCTGCGCCTTTGGGAGGCTGAGGTAAGTGGACTGCCTGAGCCCGTGGGTTCGAGACCCGCCTGG